TTTATAAAGTAATCATCATGTAATGCAAGTTTTCTCGCCTCAAACATAATAGCCGCTATGGAAAGTGGAACGTATAATGTGTAAGAAGCCTCCTTAGTAAAGTGAAACACATGTTCTCTTGGCTTGGGAGTACATATAGTAGTGGGTTGGTGTGTGGTAGGTATAATATAGGTTTGAGGGAAATGCTACATGTCCTGTTCGCTCTCTTCTATCATGACTCGTTGTCCGCACACAGAGAGAGAGAGAGAGAGAGAGAGAGAGAGAGAGAGAGAGAGAGAGAGAGAGAGAGAGAGAGAGAGAGAGAGAGAGAGAGAGAGAGAGAGAGAGAGAGAGAGAGAGAGAGAGAGAGAGAGACGGTCGGACGAAGCGGAAATGATTCGGGGCGTTGAGGCTAATTAGCTTACAGTCAGGAGAGGAAAACGTCGATTATAACCACCATCCAACCCTCATCGTCACACATTTCTATATGGTTTTCGATTATCTTCCTCTCTCTCTCTCTCTTTCTTTCTGCTTCTCCTTTAAATTTGCAGAAAATTATTGTCCCAAAATCCTTTTTATTTACTAACGATCTATTAGCAAGTTAATATATCCGTTTCCGAAAAATAAAATTTTCTAAAATATATGTTTTTACAAAAACGGAAAAACATATGCCATTTTTATTGAAGAATGGTAAAATTTACCAAAACCTCTTTCTTTTTTTTTTTTTCATTTCTATATGTGAATTCAATTCAGACATGATAAAATTCTATTTGTCTCGAGTCTCCTTGGGCTATGTCTCTCTTTTTCTCATCAGAACTCATCGAAGGGGAAATCTTTAGAAGAAAAAGACTCGAGTCTAACGTCACCTTAAGCTCATGAGGATTTGTCAAAAGTATAAGTCCCGATGGAAATCTGACCCAGACTTATGAAATCTTGAAAGTCGTATACATATATATTTACTGTTCCCCCTCCCCGTAGCACTCCCGCTGGTAATAACTTTTCTACATCGTTAAATCACCAGCATTTTTATACCCAAAACAATCAGGAATAAGCCAAATTGCATTATTAATATTTTAACTATATATTGTTCTCCCATTATTATATCCTTGCATTGTGTATTTATGATTCTTTTCTTAATTATTCTTGAAAACTTTCTTTTCTACACTATATTTACATATAACCTCACTATTCACATCTCTTCACTCTTATTTAAGACCTCAACAATTACTGTTAGGTAAAATGAATTCTCTTACAAAAAAGAAGAAGATTCTAAGCGAATTAAAACTAAAAAAAAAAAAACTAAAAATAGTTAAAAATATTTGTTGCAGAACCGATGATGATGATTTTGAAAAGATGAGAACTTACGAGAATAGAATTCGAATCTACCTGCCCACTAATCGTTCCAAGAACCTTTCATTTAACCAGGAATGAGGGGCACTCTTGCTTTCCGGTTGTCTGCCTTTAATCCATTACAAGCGACGAAATGCGTCGGCACGTTTCAACGCTTTCACGAGCAAACCTCTCAAACAGCATTGTTCATCAATAAAAACATATATATATAGATGCATAAAAATGATACAGTTACTTTACTAATCTTCAGTTTCCCCCCCCCCTCCCAAAAAAAATATATATCTTTTTTATATTTTTACACATTATTAAATAGTTCCTTAATTTTTATCTCGATTTCACTAATCAAAGCTAATTATAATTTTTTTATATAAACTCAATTGGAATGAACTTTCACTTTTAAAAATTCAATAAGGAATTCAAAAAACAGCAGCACAACTTCAAGGGAAAGAAACCAATTAGTCGACGAGAAAAGGAGAGAGAGAATATTGCAAAGTTTATCATTTTCTATTTCAAGACCTTGGAGTAATTCTAAAAATAATCTCAAATTACGTAAACTTGACTATTTCTAGTGCGTTTATCTTTAAAAGGTAGATTCAACAAAAAAAACTTATTGCAAGAAAATTATTTTCGTTTCAGTTATAAAAAAAAAAAAAAAAATTATTTCGAAAATGACTTTTTGTTGTGAAGCATTAATAATAAATTTAGATGAATACAGGAAAAGCCATATTTATATATATACACACACACAAAACAAAGATAGAGATACAAGAGAGAAGAAAAGACACGTGCATCTCAAGAGCAGTGCTTTTCTTGCGTAATGTTTTTCAAAAGCTTTATATATTTTTTCTTTTTTAAAACTTTTTTTTTCACTTTTCCCATAAATAACAATATTCTATACACTTGAAAATTATATCATTTTCACGCCTCTTCAATAATACATTATTTCAAGTTAAAAGGAAAAACAACTATATATATAATAGAATATAAAAATACAATTTCCGTTAAATAAACAGAAAATACACATGTGATAACCGGAAATATAACATAACAAAAGAGAATTGGCTATACCTAATAAAATAACCAAAAATCACTCAATTTCTCTCTGCAAATATATATATATATATATATAAACCAAAAAAAGAAATAAAAGAGAACACCCAAAAAAAAACAACTGACAATAAAAGAAACACAAAAACCATACAAAAAAAACAAAAACGAAAAAAAAAATATTCAAAAATACAATGTGAGATGAATAAACAATGAAAATCACAGAATCATCGATTAATATATAGAAAATTCAAATTCAAAAGGGAATCAAATATAAATAGAAACATACATATATTGTTCGTGGGTACATTTGAAAACGACATATCAATAATATTGTCACGGGGAATATGAAATTTGCATTTGACAATAAATCAAAATCATATATATATATATGTGAACAAATATTTATCGCAATAAATTTTAATGAACACTTATAAATATATATAACAAGTGTTTTTGAATATTGAAAATTCGACACATAACCAAATTAAATATGCACAAAATTATCTTTTGTTAACAGATCAATTTAGAAGTTGACAGAAATATGAAAATACACACGTATACATAGAGGGGGAGTGAAAACTTTTACACACACATATATATATATATATAAATAATAAATACATTATACAATCTCATTTCTCGAGAGTTAGTAGTAGCGCACAACATTGCAAGGCTTGTGGTCGCTTTGTGCATATACGTGGATGTTGAGTGAACTATAGAGACACGTCAAGCCTCCCAACCTAGTAATGAGGTTACTGGAACGTTCTGCAATTAATTTGCTTCCAAATTGCTATGCTTTGCAAATAATTATTATCTTGCTTGAAACAAAAGTACTGACGGTAATTTCATTATAGGTTTACACATCCAAACGTTAACTTAAAGTATAACAAAAGATTTTTAAATTTAAATACACACTGTCGATGAGAAAATTTCCAACAAAATCTATCTTTGAAAATTTCACACAGATAATAATCTTTAAAAAAAAAGAAAGATTGAAAACTTTAATATAAGTTTCATAAATGGGAAAATTTTTGTAATGAATAAACCGTAAAGTTATAAATGAAATATTGGAATATTATTAAATTCCTCATAATTCATGAATAATTTTATATAATATGAAAATATTATATAGTGAAGAGCAAAAGAAAGAGAGAGAGAGAGAGAGAGAGAATTTTAACTTTTCGTCAAGGATCTTCTTTATTATTCTAATCCTGTGAAAATTGAGTGCGATCGTCGATTGGAAAAAGAACGTCGAACTGAATTACGACATCGACGATAATTGCGTTTGTAATCGAGAATCCATTGGGACGAGAGCACGGGACAATCCAGTTTTTTCACTCGACTTCGGGTAAAAGACACGCTTCATTGAACTCGGGTTTGACATTTTTCAACCATAAAAAATAAGCTCCCTATTATATCGTCAAATTATGAATATTTTTTTCTAATAAACTCATTTTTTTTTTTCTAAAGAATAATTATATTTAATTTGTCAGCTAATTCTATTTCTCATTATAGTATACAATAACAACGGAAATACGAATCAAAATATTTTAATTTCATTGTTTAAAAAAATATCACATCAGCAAAAATTACTAATCAATGTACAAATTAAAATAGAATTAAATAAAAAATAAATAGAAAAACTTATTAAAAACATTTTCAAATGTTTCTATAAATTTTAACCCGTTTCTTCTTTTTTTGTTTTGACAACTATACAGCAAAACTTGAAAGTTTCTAACCTCAAACTTTAATCTGATATCACAGATCTCAAAAGTTGACTTTCTTAATCGTCGTAAGCACGCAAACCACTGACAAAGTTATAAGCAACATTAAACTTAAACTAAGCTCCGAAAACTCGATTTTCTACCTACTAATTAATTGCCAATTATTGTAAATTAATTTTACTCCTTTGAGGAGAAAAAAAATTTATTTTTCAAAGACAGAAGATATTTTTCCAAACACGCGAAAATTAATTGTATCGATTTTCAATTAAGACAATTTAGATTTTAATTTTCAAATAGCTTTTATACGTTCTTTCGCGCAAAGTTTGAGGAGGAAAAAAAAAAAACTCCCCGATAAGTATGGAAAAGTACATCTCTAATATTAAAGTTGTAATGTAATGCCAAGTTGCAAAAAAAGATGAAGCCGAATAAAGTAGGAATTTCATTACTTGAAATAGAGAAATGCAGTTGGATCTTTATCAGAAGAAGAAGAAAACGGTATTTCAGTAATAAAAGTAGACGTCAAAGTGTTTCAAAAGCATTTCAGTAATATAGTGATCACAATAAAGCAATACACAAATCATTACCAATACAAAGACGATAATAAACGCGCACTCAAAATAATAATACGCAAGATGGCAACCAATAATCCGAGACCGATTCTTTTACCAAAAAATTATAACAGAATAATAGTACACAAAAATTTATTTCCCGAGCACATTGCCTAGTTAACAATGCAAAAAAAAAAAACATTGTTTTAGTTTCATTTAAAAGTTCAATATAATCGTCAAGTATTCTCAAAAGAAACGAATATTTAAATATTAATTCACTTCTCCGTTTGGAAAAAACGTGACCGAATTAAAAAAAGAGAAAGTTATCTTAAATTGAAAAAAAACTCACCTTAAAAGACTGCTCTTATGACCACCGCTTCTCTCCGTGCTGTTAACTGACGTATCCAAATATAATCCAATTATCCAAGTAGGAGGCACTAATTATTCACTCAAGTATCACTTTGTAATAAAAAAAAAACACTTCTTTTTAAAACACTCGTGAGATCATTCTAAACGAATCTTTAACTCGAGATCTCATCACACATATCAACGTCTTCTCCACTACTTTGCGAATAATACTGAAACCCATAAGAAAACCGGTTGGGAAAGGCAACCTCGGTCCTTCCGCCGGAAAGTGAGCGCGACGCGTATTCTTCTTTTTTTCCCTCAAACAAAAAAAAAAAAAAAAGAAACTTGTTGATTTACAATCACTCAACGATTCTGAATCCAGTAAAACTTATGATTTTAAACACACACTTTAAATTCTTCTTTTTCGTTAACTATGTTACGTAAAAGTATACCCGACGGTCAATCTCGAGAAGCGCGTTTCTTGGCGTAACGCGCTCTGTGAGTCGTATCAGGCACCGAAGCCAAGGACACGAGCCGGGTTAACCTACTTTTCACCGCGGACACACTTAGAACCAACTCTCTTTAAGCACTCACCACAGGTGTGCTTACCGTTGACGAAGATATTGGCGCACCCTGGCGAAAGTGGCCAAACGTTTCTTCTTTTTTTTTACTCCTTTTTTTGAGAAACACCAACTTACACGCACAAACACTTGCAAACGAATTTTCACTTTTCACCGCGTTTTACTTTAATTCCTTATTCTGGAAAAAAGACGAGAGAGATTATACAGACGATTTTCGACTTCTTCTATATTAGGGAGTTGCGCTCCGATGATGAGGGGAACGCACACACAACAACACTCTACTACTGGGTAACACTCGAGGAAAACGGAGAGCTAAGCGCGCAACAAACAAACGACCTTTCGCCTCGAGAGGTCCGACTTAAACTGAAGAGAGCCGCAAGCGCGCGCGCCAACATCCCCTCCCCACTCTAACCATTCCCTCTACTCTCTCTATATACTACACCACTCTTCTCACCGCGCGCCGGGAAACTTTCCGCACCGAGGTCATTTATCGGAAAGCCCCTGAAAACGCATTGCTCACCGGCCCGTCACTGATTCTTGCGCTTTTATATACATATATATACGGCTCAAGATTCTTTTATTTTTTACGAAAAAATCTTCACTTCACATTTTAATAGTATACTTTTCATTTATTTCTGAAAAATATAAGCAAAAAACTTTTTTCCCGCTATATTTATTGACATTTTTTTTTTCATGTTTGTTGAAATCAATTTTTTAAATTCATTGTTATACAGCAGAGTTGCCAATGACCCTACCTAAACACTACTGCGCTTGCGCTACGACAACTCTCTTATAGGTCGAAAAAAGCGCGCTTATATAAAATGCTTAATAATAAAAAAAAAACGTTAATAAAGGAATATAAAAATATTTTCACTATTGAATTTAGTTTTTTTTTGTTAATTATATTGCTTTTAATAAAAAAAAATATTAATTTACTTAATGTACTTAAGTATGTAAAAATAATAATTATAATATTAATAATTTTATTATATTTATATCATTATTGTTATTATTTTTTTTATAAAATATATAATCTATTGTTATTATCATCAATTTAAGATTTAATAATTAATTATGTAATATATTATTTATTTTTGTTATTAATTAATTATCTATGATATATGGATATATATTTTTTCAAAAATTTAGCGAAATTTTTTTTTTACTTTTTTATGAGAAAATTTGAATTGGGGAAAAAAGTACGAAAGAAAATTCGAGTCATTTTTTTTTTTGAAATATATAGATGTAATACATCCATATAGATATTCAATAATAATTTATTGAAAATAATGATGATAATAATAATAAATAATATAATAATTAATTAATAAATATTATATTGATGATAATAACAATAGATTATGAATATTTTATTTAAAAAATAATGACAATAATGATATAAATATAATAAAATTATTATTATTATTATTATTATTATTATTATTATTATTATTATTATTATTATTATTATTATTATTATTATTATTATTATTATTATTATATACTTAAGTATATTAAGGAAATTAGTATTTTTTTTAGGAAGCAATATAATAACAAAAAAAAATTCAATATAGTTAAAATATTTTTATATTGCTTTATTAAAGTTTTCTTATAATTAAGCATTTTAGGCAATTTTTGTTCTTGTAACTAAATATTGGTTAGCTGAAACAAAGTCCTAGAGTTATCTCAACCAAACATTTAGTTAGGCCAACAAAATTATTTGATTGAACATTTTTAAATTTCAACCAAAATTTGGTTACGACAACAAAATAATTTAGTCTAAAAAACCAAATGATCGTTTGTTGTCCTAACCAAAATTTTATTATCGCAACCAAATAATTTTGATTCGCTCTCAGCTCATTGCTTAAGAAAACAGTTTAAATCTCTCACAAGGATGGTTAGTCCAGTGGTTAGAGCTCCCGACCTTCAGTTTTAAAGCAGAAGTTCGATCCCAGGCGGAGGTGAGATTTTTCAAAGTCCACAATTATTTCAATTGATTAAATATAAATTCAATTGTAAAATTAATAATAAATAAATAATGAAATAAATAAAAAAGACAAATGAAAAGAGATAATTTATAATAAAATTTTTAATTTTACAAAAAAAACCGGTTTGTTTAATCAACCAAACATTTTTGTTATGCCAACAAAAAAAAAAAAAAAAAAAAAAAAACCAAATTTTTTTGGTGACTCAAACAAATAGTTTGGTTGCTTAAATACCAACAGCAATTTTTTATTAGCCCAACCAAATTTTGGTTTTTTCTCAGTGATATTTTTTTAAATTTATTTCAATTTAAACAAGAGAGATAAAACAACAAAATTTATCTGCAGTTTAGAAAAGACATAATGTTCCATGACCTCAAAATTAATTCCATTTAAAATTTAATATTAGGAACACTGAAAAAAAGGAAACAAATAATTATAGACCAATGAAAGGGATTGTGAAATTTATCTGTTGGCAATTAGAAGTAATTGATTTGTAAAATTCAAAGCATTGAACGCGGTCATTTTTTTATCAACTTGATTAAAAAAAAAAAAAAAAAAAAAATCCTCTATCATGTCAGAAGTACCAGAGAAGTTCAATGAAAAATTCATTTCTCGTTTGCACGACTCCTTCATTGCGGACTTTGCAAAGTAGGTATATATCTCGATTTACTTTAAATATTGATTTAACGATGAAAAGTCACTTTTTTTTTTGTTTTATCTTTCCGAGAAATTAATAGTATATTCCATTCAAGTGATTTTTATTCACATTTACTTTGAATTGGCAATATATATATATATATATATATATATATATATATATATATATATAAATAAAAATGTTTATATTGAACTCCGTGAAATGGAAATCGCTTTGTAATTTGAAAGTATATATATGTGACGTTCCATGAGGAAAGGGACCTTAGCTGCAAAAAAATGAAAATTGAGTTTTTGATATCAGTCGATAGATCTTGAGTTGCTCTTTCAGATACAAAAGTTAAAAATTGTACTTTTCTATTTAGTTTTTTTGTTATAAAGCATTAATTATGACCATGTTAATCGCGTTCCAGCACGGACTACAGAAACCATCCCCACCACTTCTACACTAGTATACTTGTCGTAAGCGTGAGCTGTAGGAACGATGTAGTAGTAAGGTGGTGGGGCTGATTTTCGATGGAGGGTCTCAACCAATCAGGGACGCTCTACTTTAAATACCTTTTCTGGAAAATGCGTCTATTGCAGCTAAGGTCCCTTTCCTCATGGAACGTCACATATATTCATTGAATGAGAAAAATTCAAAGAGAATTTTTGGAAACATTCCAAAAATGAGATCATTATTTTTCAAATGATTCTGATGTACACTGCATTGGAGTGTTTCCAAAAAAAAAAAAAAAATGTATTTTTGCGATGGATTAAATTTTTTTTTGGGGGGGAAGGGAATTAAAAAAAAAAAATTATCATCATTAATTGGAAATAATAAGTAAAATGTTTGATATTAATTTAAAAAGTGAAAGCGATAAATTTAAAAGACATTTTTTTATTATTATTTTCTATTAATTGCTTTGTTATAAACGGATATCAATAAAAAAGCACCTGATTATCTGATTTGACGGCGATGGCACTTGGATTGGAGTCAAGCTCAACGTCGACGTTTCGTCGATGCGACGTTGCACGATATATATATATATATAGAGAGAGAGAGAGAGACAGACGAGAGGTGTTGTGGGCGGAAGAGGAGAGCAAGGGTACGTGCACACGCACTGTTGCCAAGTCATTCGAGCAAGCTGTGCGGCACTTTATGTGTGAGTTTGAAAGTCCCAAATTCATTTGTGTCAAAATCTTTTTCGACAAAAAAATTTCTCGCAGTGGAAAAAAAAACAACTCTCTAAATCTAAATTAGTTCTCTCTAAATCTGAATTAGTAGTTTTCTACTAATGAAAGAGTGCGGATTCATTTATCAATTGAATTAGTAACAGTTTTAACTAATTTTTAGTAGAAAACTACTAATTGCAAGTGGAAAACTACTAATTTATAGAGTAAGTCGTATTTTTTACTATTTCAAATTAGTAAGTCGATTTACTCCAAGAATTAGTAGTTTTCTACTAGCAATTAGTAGTTTTCTACTAACAATTAGTAGTTTTCTACTAGCAATTAGTAGTTTTCTACTAGCACTCTTTCATTAGTAAAGAACTACTCCCTAAATCTGAATTAGTAGTTTTCTACTAATGAAACAGTTATGTTTTCTTTTATTCTCTAAATCTGAATCAGTCATATTTTACTGATTAGCAGTAGAAATCTACTAATTGTCATAGCGAGAATTAAACAACTGACAATTGGCAGAAATTTACTGATTCAATTAGTAAAATATCAATTACTGATTGAATCAGTAATATAAGTATATGGCGGCGGACACAAAATCTACTGATTTAATAGTTAATTTTAAAGGTTATGTTATATACAAATTACTGATTTACATAAGTTATTTTCTATTGCTTGCATATTCACTAAATATATTAGTAAATTTCAAAAAATAACTGTAAATTCAGTTAAAATGAAAAGTACTGATTGAATTAATAATATTTCTACTGATTCAGATTCAGAGAGTACCAATTGAATTAGTAACAGTTTTGACTCTTTTTTAGTAGAAAACTACTAATTGCTAGTGGAAAACTACTAATTTATGGAGTAAGTCGGCTAACTAATTTAAAATAGTAAAAATACGACTTAATTAGTAGTTTCCTACTAGCAATTAGTATAGTTTTTTACTAAAAAAGAGTCGAAAATGTTAATAATTCAATTGGTAAACGAATACGCACTCTTTCATTAGTAAAAAATTACTCTCTAAATCTGAATTAGTAGTTTTTTACTAATGAAAGAGTGCGTATTCGTTTACCAATTGACTGTTACTAATTCAATTGGTAAACGAATACGCACTCTTTCATTAGTAGAAAACTACTAATTTAGATTTAGAGAGCACACCTACCTTATTAGTTTTTGTAACATGCTCTCTAAATCTGTATTAGTAAAAATGTTTACTAATTTAAATTAGTGACTCACTTTTTGCTTCTGAATTAGTAAAATTTCACTAATTATTAGTAACTGTTACTAAGAATTAGTAAAATTTAACTAATTATAAAGCAAAAAGTGAGTCACTAATTCTAATTAGTAAACATTTTTACTAATTTAGATTTGAGAGTGATAAAATATCACGCGACGCGGAATAAATAATTTTATAATAGTAATAATAATAATTTACAAACAATCATGTAAATACTAAGGAGATTATTATTTTTTTTATGTATTTTTGTAACTAATAACAATATTGATATATAGTATATATTATTATTAAAAGTTACAAAAATACACAAAA